AAAACATAACCGAGGTCACGAGTTTTCATGGATTAGCTAATTTTTATAGGCGTTTTGGTAGGGATTCTAGCACAATCATCACACCACTAACTGAGATTGTCAAGAAAAATATGGGGTTTCAATGGGGGGTAGAACAAGAACGTGCATTCAACATCATCAAAGATTGTTTGTGTAAAGCACCAGTTTTAGCACTTTCTAATTTTGACAAAACTTTCGAGATTGAGTGTGATGCATCAGGAATAGGTATTGGAGCAGTCTTAATGCAGGATAAGAGACCTATAGCCTACTTTAGTGACAATCTAAGTGGAGCAGCTCTCAACTATCCTACGTATGACAAGGAGCTCTACTCACTTGTTCGAGCCTTGGAGACATGGCAGCATTACTTGTGGCCAAAAGAGTTTGTAATTCATTCTGATCATGAATCACTGAAACATTTGCGGGGTTAAGGTAAGTTAAACAAGCGACATGCACGCTGGATGGAATTTATAGAAACTTTTTCATATGTCATTCATTACAAACAAGGTAAGAAAAATGTAGTAGCCGATGCATTGTCGCGAAGGTATGTGTTTTTAACTACTTTAAATGCAAAATTGCTTGGTTTTGAGTACATTAAGGACATGTATGCTAATGATTTTGAATTTTCCAACATTTAAAATTCATGTCATAAGGGGGATGTAGATAAGTTCTTTAAGTATGAGGGGTACTTATTTCGGGAAAATAAATTATGTGTTCCTAATTATTTTATGCGTGAATTATTGGTTAGAGAAGCACATAGTGGGGTCTAATGGGTCACTTTAGGGTAACAAAGACTTTAGAAATATTAATTGTAATACATTAAACAAAAAAAAAGTCAAATAAAATAAAATATAGTATATGAGGCGGTGGAATTGGATTGATATCAATCCAATTCCACCCAAAACAAAATTAATAACACCAACACACACAACACAAAAAAAAAGGGTACAGAGAGAAAAAGAGAAAGGAAAAAGAGGGGAAAAAAAGGAAAAGAGGAAGAAAAAGAAGAAGGAAAAAAGGAAAAACTTGCCAACGTGTTAGGAATTAAGTAAGTTATACTATTAGGCTTGAATTTCTCAATTTTGAAAGGTAAAAAAAGTTACTTATTGAAAGGTTATATTTGATTTTATAATTGTTAAGTTGTTAGATTAAATTCAATTTTATTGAAGGGGTTAAGTATAATAAACTATGAAATTGAGTAAAATGAAAGAAAAATTAGTTTTACTAATTCAGGAGACTTTAGGAATCGCCTAAACGTGAAATAATTATGTTTGGGTATCGCCTATTTAATTATTGAAATTACTTAAATTAGTTAATTGTTGATTTAAAAATTATATTATATTTCAGGCGGTGGTACGGATATCGAGACAACGTACCAATCGAATTGATTTTGACGTACATAGTTCTGTGAGGGGATAAATATAAATATTTTTAAAATATTTATAAATTATATATATTGTCAAAGTATGTGCAATTATGTGTTCGAATTATATAGTTATTATGGAATTCTCTTTTATTATGATACATGTGGAATATCAAAGATTATTTATGGCATATTTGTGACTTGCTATGTAAGGCGTGTGATATTGAGATTTGTTTGGTATGTGAGACAAGTAATATTGAGATCGTCCAGAAAAGTACCGATGATTATATACTTCTTCTAGTTCACAGAAGGGCCTTGGCCGTGTTCTATCATACACGGAGGGTCTTGACCTAACATTGGTATTGATTATGTACATATAGTTCACAGAGGGGCTTTGACCGTGTTCTAGAATTGATTATGAGAGGTTTTTGAGACTGACTTTCGTTCACGGAGGGGGCCAAAGGCCCGTGGCGAAAGTTGTTAGCCCGAGAGGTGGATTATATATTTCAGTCAGAGGGTACATTTTTGGTGGATTTTTCAGCACGTTTGATGTGGTGAGATTATAGCATGGTTATCAACTGATGTTATATCATGATTTTAAGATGATATTTTTATGACCTTATGTGAATATTTCACTTTTGGCTATAATTACACGATGGTAGCTTATGAATTATCAAATGATATGAATTTGATTTTCAATAAAAATTTATAAATGAAAGGATATATTTATTTTGAACTTCTCCACTCACCGAGCTATCAACTCATATATTTTTCCACGTTTTTCCTTATCAGACACTAGTTGAGAATCTGGGCATCTTTTGGAGTTGAGCCTTGATTTTTGAGTCAGAGCCACATGACAGAGTTTGTAAGTATGACTTCATAGAACATGTAGTTAGTGTTTTGGGACGCATGTTCATGTTTAGATGTGATTTTGCATCACTTGTAGATAGTTATGGGGCTCACTATGTATTATGTATTCATATGTATATTTCATTGTATTTCTTGGTAAAAGTGGAGATTTCGGCTTATTTTTATTGTACTGTGCTATAGTTTGGGATTTGCGTGAAATTGATCACAGGTTGGTTAGTCCTGTTTATAGGGGAGATAATGTCGAAATTTTGTTAGAAAAATGATGTATAAAAAGTGATATATTATATTTGTAGTAGCCTTGATGGTGGGTCCGACTTTTAATTGGTATATATTATCGGCGCATGCCACGTCTGGATCTAGCGGTGTTACATGGGGTGGGGTGTGTCATTAACTGAGTATTTTTATTGGCCTAAAATGAAAGTTGACGTGGAACGAATTTGTAGTCGATGCATAACTTGTAAACAGACTAAATTTAGGGTCTTACCTCATGGGCTTTATACACCTTTGCCAGTACCTAGTGAACTTTGGATAGACATCTCAATGGATTTTGTGTTAGGTTTGCCTAGGATAAAAAAGGGTCGGGATTCGATTTTTGTAGTGGTGGATATGTTTAATAAGATGTCAAATTTCATTCCATGTCACAAAACTGATGACGCCACTAACATTGCAAACTTGTTCTTTAAAGAAATTGTGCACTTACATGGAGTACCTAAAAGTATTGTGTCAGAGAGGGACGTAAAATTTCTTAGTCACTTTTGGAGGGTCTTATGGAATAAGTTAGGCACGAAATTACTATTTTCTACAACTTGTCACCCACAAACCGATGGACAAACTGAAGTAGTAAATATACCATGACACAACTATTGCGCACTGTGGTTAATAAGAATTTGAAGAATTGGGAAGAGTGCTTACCTTTCATAGAGTTTGCATATAATAAGGTCACACACTCCACTACATCATTTTCTCCATTTGAAATTGTTTATGGTTTTAATCCTATAACACCTATGGATTTAATACATTTGCCTGTGAATGAACGAGGTAGCTTGGATGGGAAGAGGAAGGCTGAGTTGGTGAAATTACTCCATGAAAAGGTACGAGAGCAAATTGATGCAGAGTAAGTAAACAAGGGCAGGAAGATTGTCATATTCAAACCAGGAGATTGGATTTGGGTGCATTTCAAGAAAGAGCGGTTTCCAGAACAAAGAAAATCAAAGTTGTTGCCATGGGGAGATGGACCGTTTCAAGTATTTAAGAAGATCAATGACAACGCATACAAATTAGATTTTTCAGGTGAGTATAACGTTTCAGCAACTTTTAATTTGACTAATCTTTTTCTCTTTGATGCAGGTACAGATTTGAAGACGAATCCTTTCGAAGAGGGAGGAGATGATGTGAGCCAGGGGCCGCAAGCGTCAAAGTCAAGTCCAACGTCAAGCCCTAAGAAAGATTCGTTGATAGTCGAGGGCGGTCTGATAACTCGAGCAAGGACAAAGCGAGTAAAAGAGGCAATGAGATTGCTCGTCAAGACAACTATTGATGAAACCATGTTCAGGACTCCAAATGGGACAAGTTTCATATTGGGGTCGAAGGCCCAAGAAACTTGGATCAACGTGTTAAAGGTGGATGAAAATGGAGTGAAAAGCCAAAGCTGTGCGACCGCAAAGCACAAATGGCCTGCGGTCACACAAACTTAGGCCGAGAGTTGAAGGAGGCCAGACTTCAATTCCATGCGACCGCATGGTTATTTTCAGACGCTTTATTTTTTTATTTTTTGCAGTTTTTTTAGTTTTGCTAGAATTCTATATTTAATTGATTTCTTACCATATTTAGGAGATTATGCACGAAATTACCTAGATTCTTAGGACTAGTATAAATACTCTTATTATTTTCATTGTAAAAAAACTTTTGACATATTGATTAATTGAAAGGTTTAATTGCTTTCTCTTTGTTCTTCCAATTGAATAATTTTCGAATTTATCAAGATCTAATTCTTGTGGCATTCAAATCAACCAGGTGATATTTCATAATTTTGCGTAATTAACAGGTTCGCACATCGTTGGCGATTCGGGTTGCTTGGTTCCAGATTTATTGAATTCGAATCCAAAACCTTATTTTGAATTTCTTGGGAAGATTTCCATCTTATTCGTGGGTTCCGTAACTTTTGCCTACGCGGGTTCACATCATACTCTTTGCTGCATTTTCCATTTTTATCTTTTATTAAGTTACTATATACATCAGGATCAAAGTATGATCAACTTGAAAGGGGGTGGATTAGGAAAAAAAAACGATTAATATTGAAAAAAAAAATCCTCTAAAATCAAGAAAAATAATAGAAAGTGGTTCTCATTTTGAATCAAGATCTAGTATGATACGAAACGTTATATCATGCTTTGTAGTGCTAATAAGTAATAACGGATGAGCGTAAAGGTTTTCTCGGTTTAGATGAAGATTGGCCCTCAAATGTAAAAACAAAGGGAAGTTTGATTAGAAGACCTATCCATCGAGTAGGGATGAAAGTTGGTTTTAGTAATCTGATCGTACTGAGTGGAAGGATCATTGTTCAATGGATAAAAATTAATTTAGAAATGACAAGTTGATATTCCACAAGAGCTCAAATCGACCAAAAAATAAAAAAAAGAAGATCCGAGTGTGACACGAAACGTTATATCAAGCTCTGTAGTGCTAATTCTGTCAATTATCCCCATTTATCATGTCACGAGGGTAGCCCAAAACTGTGGATGAGTCCACTGATTCCTTCTCTAGCCTTTTTCCCGCTACTTTTCTTCGCCATTTTCCCACTCTTTTCTGCCAAATTCCTCTCTCGCAGTGAATGCTTATGTGCGGTGCCAATCGCAGGAGATGATAAACTCGCGAGAGATAGTGTTAGTTTCAACCGCCACAATTTTTGGTGCGGCGGCTTCCGCAATCGCATTTCACCGATTTTTCTACTCCAATCGTCTCAACAAGCGCTTCTCAGCAAACGGCGTCGTTGATGGGAGGAAACCCTCTCCTCGGAACCCATTCGATCCCACCAAACGAAAAGGGTTAGCCAATTACTTATACATATAGTATATTTTTCATTCTTTGTTGCACTGTCTGCTTGGGATCAATTCAAATAGTCATAATAATATGATAGTATACAAGATATTTACTATCACTTTCTGCTTTGGATAAACTCAAACAGTGATAATAATGCGATAGTAGAAAAGATATTCCTCATTTCTTAAAGGGTATTTTTATGTTTTCCAGTCTTTGTTTATATAATGTTGAAAGAGGTTCAAGAAGTGATAGTAAAGCACGGTACAAGTAGCGATGCATAAGATAGAAGTAGCCATGAGCAGTGCTTGCTGAAGTTCTCTTGATTAAAATGCTAGGCAAAACATTTATATTCATTTTCAGAATGTTATTTCTTTTCTTATCGAAATGCAGATATTTGTCATGGGATGATTATTTTATGGCTATTGCATTTCTCTCTGCTGAACGATCCAAGGATCCTAACAGGCAGGTAAATTAATTATCTAAAATGTAAGTGTTTTCTTGTATTTTTAGGACAGAGGTACCTTGTGAATACCTCTATGTGGCACGCAAAAGTTCATGTCGGGAGAAGCACACGTTGATCATATATAGTAATGTTGAAGTATTTGCAACCTTAATGTTATAAATCCCAAGCATGATGGAAGAAGATTTGTTGTTTTATTTTGCTGATGAACACCTACAATGGACTAAGACAGAGTTGCTTCGGCGGGTGTCAGCAATCTTCATTAGGCTATGGTCATAGGAAATTCTTTATGGATTATGAAAAATCACTCCTCATTGACAAAAGAGTGGAAGGTTAGCCATGATAGCAGTTGCGAAATGAAGAGAGGGCTCTATCTCAACTTAGAGATGATATTAGCTTTTCTTAGTTTAGGAAAATGGAATTTATTCCCAACCTGTGATGAGCACGGTAAGAAGAACAAAACATCCACAGCTAAGGGTATCATGTATGCAAGGGAATTCAATTTTGAGTTTTCCTGCTCCTGACTTAGTGGTTAGTTTAATTGTGTTGCCTACTATACACCCTAATTTCTGCCAATCACTTAAGGCTAACTTTGCTCAGTGTGCAAGGGGTAGATTATGAGAAGTTAAGTGTGAGACGTGTACTTGAAAAGTTTAGTCCTTGACAATTGGCTCCCTCCTGATATATATGTTCCTTTGTCACTTGACAATGTATCGAAGTCTAAAGAAACTGATTTTATGGCTTGTTTGCATCACATTGTTGGTCATTAGCGTCTGCCCATTCCCAAGCACTCTGCTTTTAATGTTACCCTTCACTATGCACCTTGTCATAAAATTCTCCTTCATTATCTTACGGAATCCAGCTAGCTGCTAGAGAATAAATGAACTGATCATTGCTCTCCACACATTTGGCCCAACTGAATGATGGTGACTTTAATGGAATCTAAAATTCTTACCAAAATAGATGATGAAATGGCTGTCTAAAAGCATACAGGAAAAGAGAAGGACGCAGAGCAACATACATGGTAGCTTAAAAGCTCGGTAATTAGATTTAGGGCAAGTATAATAAGCTTATAGGTCATAGCTTCTTCGATCATAGATACGATGGTGTCAAACCCAATTACCCATACTTAGTTCCCTCTAAATTGGAGCTATTGACTGTTGAGCCTTCGTAGGCCTGCTCGGGCCACCTAAATCTCCGCCACTTGAAGATTCAGATTAGCCTTGATACTATTCTTGAAACTCTAGATCATCTATTGTCAAGCAGTTGATTGTAAATATGTCACTAGTCTTATAATTATGAGCGTTATGGGCTTAGGAGGACTAGAAGAATCAAAAGAATAAAATATAAATGAGCTCAGCCCATCAACGTGAAAGTTTAATTTTGAAGTACACGTCTAAAGAAGTTGTGTAAATATTGGTCCAATGAAGACATTCTAAAAAGGAAGAATAGGAAATACTAATTGTCGAGTTATGAGACTGGCTTGAAGACTAAAATAAAATATATAGAAGATGGAAAAGAAGATTTCCTCGATTAAGATGAAAGTGGCATAGAAGTGAACGAACAAAGAGAGAGATGCGAACTTTAAAATGGAATCGCGAATCCTAAGCATGGCAAATTGGAGATTATGGAGGTCAGCAATAAATAGGCCTGATGGCTGGGTCTGTGAAGAGAGAAGGTTCTGGTCATGGTTGGGCTTATGGAAGAGTAGAAGACAATAGGCCTAATGTCCGTATTGTATTGTGTCTGTGATTCATACAATATTAACATAGATTGACCATCCTCCACTTCGAGGGGGTGAGCTATCACAGTGTCTCGTTCTGCGGTGTTTTCTATAGATTTCAGTCTCTTTGACACCTAGTTGACAGAGAACATTTTGATGTCAAAATTTTTTGTTCTTGGTTTTATATTATTCAAATTCCCAAGTTTTATCTTTTTGTGAATTTAATCTACTTTTTACTTTTCATTTTCTCCCTTCTTGGTTATCTTGTAGGTTGGAGCTTGTTTGGTGAGTCAAAAGGGCATCATTCTTGGTAAGGTTTCTTGATAGAGATACTATTGATTGCATGTGAGGAATGCTCACTATTCAAACTTTGAATTGATTTAGAGAAATTCCGGTTTCATATAACCAATCCCATGGCTGCAAACAAGTGTTACGACTCGTCTTTTGGCAAATTTGATGATTTCAGACATGAAAGCCTTATATATGTGGCATCAACTTCTATTGCTATCATCTCTTGTGGCTTTTAATCTTGAATCAGGTTTCTTCAGTGAGTGAGGCATTGGTGCCATATTTCATGTAGGTTTTTGTATTTTAGCATTTACAACCTACACGATCATCGCTAATTTATCGAGAATCAAAGCATGAATTGTGCCCTCAAATTTCACTTAATTCTCTTTAATCACATTAGCAACTCCTAGGAATCTTGTCCAAAGCAACTTCAGCCTGGTCCTGGTTGGCCGTTCACCATTCTAAGCCATCAGATCAGGTCTATTAGGCACCAACCCCATTTTAGTGCTTCATTAGTCAACGCATTAGAATGTGAGCATTCCACCATTTACTGCTAATTATAAATATTATTTATAATCAATTCCACAAGTGAATGATTTGCTATATCTCAAAGAATCATCTCCACGCTTATTTTGCTGTAACATTTTTCAAAGCATGTTTTTTGTTTGCATTTGCATGTGTTTTTTCTTTTGATCATATAAAGTATGGAAATTGAGTCTTTTTTCATATGTTACTATGATGACTTGTTGATATGATTTGAAGGTTAGGCAATATGACAAAAGCAGCACGGATGGTGATGAGTAGTAGAATGTATCTGTGCACTCCATTTTCATATGTGTTACATATACGTGAATTTGGGCACATATATCTTAGTAGGCGATTGATTGTGAATATAGGAAACTTCAATATGTTTTTGGCTGTTCTACCATCGCCCAAGCTTATAATTACCGATCCTCTATTATAAACCTAGAAATGGGCTTATGTTTCTCTATCTATGCATAGAATTCGGAAGCAATCTTCCCTCAACTTAATAAACACATACAACACTTTAAATATATGTTCACTGTGATCGTGCAATATGCTTGCTCGATGAATATTTAGCCCCTGTTTGAGCTCCATATTTCACAAAAAATGAGTTTTGTATTAGTAAATTTTTGGAGAAAGTGTGGTTAAAAAGTAGATAAAAGTTTTGGATTTACGTACAAATTATTTTATTGGGAGAATGTGTAGTTGAAAATGAGTTTGGAAAGATAATGAAGCTCAAACAGAGGCTTAATGAACCCAAAAATAATAGGATGGTGAAATAAAGTAATCTGAATAAGTTAATTAAGTTTTGGTGCATTGGTGCCATTGTCCTAGCCAGGCATCGGCTACAATGGATTCCCACGTGGTTGTTCAGATGACAAGCTTCCGTGGTCTAAGGTTGGTGTGGTTTTTCTTTTAAAAAAAAAATGGATGTTAAATTTAAAGAATTGAGTATTTGTAACTCATGCCTTGATGTTTCAGAAATCCAAAAATGATGATCCATTGGAGACAAAGTACCCGTAAGTTACATGACATTAAAATTGATTAGTAGAAGTTTTATATGTATCTATTTTTATTCTTTCCCTTTTCTTTGCTCATTTCCTCAACTTGATGCACCAATTTCACTTGTTGCTTGCAGTTATGTATGCCATGCTGAAGTCAATGCTATCTTGAATACAAATCATGCATCTGCTGCAGGACAAGTTAGTTATATATTCTAATTGAACTTTTTTACAAATCTCCATTTGAGTTAATTCATTAATAGCGTGTTTAATTGTCTTTATTTTTCATAGAAAATGTCATTTTTCCACTCAAATTCCTACTTTTGGGGTGTTTGATTGACAATTGCCTAGAAATTATTTTCTTTCCATACAACTTGCTTGCAATCAAATGTACTCTAAGTGCCTTTCTTTTCTTTCTAGATTCAGGTTTACCTTTGCTAATTATTTGTTATGTCCATTACATTTGCAGAGGCTTTATGTTACAATGTTTCCTTGCAATGAATGTTCCAAGATAATTATTCAGGTGAAAGAAAGCTGGTCTGTATATATGTTATTCAATTATCTGAAATTAAATCCCAGGTTTATGAAAGTTATATGCATGACCCCACCCGACCTTAGCCTCAGTTGGCGTTGGAAATTATTTATATCTTGGGCATCAAATTTCTCATGCATCTGCTACACATATGAAGCAAAAGAAATGACAGCAAGCTCAAAAGAGGTTGTTGATGAATCTCTCCAAAATATTGCATGCAATTAAAAGACTGGAAAAGAATCAATCTTTCTAGTCTCTGCAAATTATATGGATTCTGGACACTTGTTTTAACATTCTTGTATATAATAGAGATCATAAGATTCTACTGTAGCACTAAATCTAGTAGCTTGGAACTGTGGAGGACACAGTTACAATTTGATGCCACTATATTATAATTTATATTGGAGATCTGCACTTGTAAGCACTCTGGATGCATTCCAAACCATTAGAAACGTATTTGCTGAAACTAAATACTCGCTAGGTTATTAACATTTTGAGTTATTAATGAATACCTATCTCACTAAAGCTCAGGCATAACCTGAAGTTTATGCTTTTCAAGATAATCAAAATTCCTGCATAATATTAGATGAATTGACATCTTTTTATGTATATTTACTTTGCTCATTTACCTCTTTCCAGTGTACTTTGGTGTGGCTGTAACATTTTAATTTTATTGAAGTACCTTTCATCTTTGTGCATATATCTGGTTTCATTTTTTTTCCCAGAAATTAACATTTATATTTGCAGTCAGGCGTCTCGGAGGTTATCTATTACGTGGAAAAGAGATTGGATAATTCGGAAACTACTTATGCAGCTTCTCACAAACTTCTATCCATGGCTGGTGTAAAAGTAAGTTTATTAGTATTTGCTTAGAAAAGCTTTGTCTGTTGGGAAAATTGGGTGATTTACGTGTAGATAAACATATCAACTACAAAATATTAATAACATAATTCAATAATTGCATACACATAACAATATTATAACTATATAAACATTATAATTTAACAATAAGAAGAGGTTAAAATACAAGCTTTAGGGAGTCACGTCAATGATTCTATCCTAAAGTCGTGTTGCCTCCTCTTAGTGCGGGTTCTTTTGAAGCTATATGGCTCTAAGATAAAATCCATGTGGCTCATAGCTGGTTCTTTTTCTATGGGCACGACTATTGGGAGATAAGTAAACGAGCCTCTTATCAAGTTGTCAAAATAGTATATTGACAATTTCAAACTACAAAATGTAGCCACCTAAAGCGCACACTTGTGCTAGATAGCATTATCCTTGATCTTAAGATTGAGTAAGCTTCAAGAGGGAGATATCTCCATAAGATTTTCCCTTCTCTTGACAAGGAAAGATTGACTGAAATAAAGCAGAGAGAAGGAAGAGTGCAGAAAAAGTTCTATTTCTATTTTATATTTGGTTTTTAATATTTCTTATGAAAAAACACTAGTTCGATAAAAATAAGAAAATATATTGCGCAGTTGACTGAAAGCAAGTGATTGACTTTTTTGTATTGACTTGACAATTTGTTGCTTATTTGTTAGGTAAGGAGACATCAACCACAGATGGATCAGATTTTGATCAATTTCAATGAGTACTAAATGTTCCTAAAATGGCTGCAGTTGCATGGTATGTTATTCGTACCCCATATTATTAATACAGTTAACTTCTCATTTGCATGTTAATGCACCGTAGGAGTTTAAACAGATCCTAATGTTCATATCCTACATGAATCAAATACCAACCCTCGGATATTCCGTGATACATGTCTGGGATGTCATGCAACATGTCCTACTTATATATATAATTGACATAAGATGGAACTTCCTGGCACTCTTCCACGTGTGGCGTGTCTTGTCTTTTTATGTGTTTTGAATTTGTACATGTCCTCTAACATGTAATGGACACTTCAAGTCGGACTATAAATTTTGGAATGTAAAATTAGGAAGAATAATTTAATTGAATTACCTAATTGTAACAAAGAATCAATGTAAGTAAAAATAAATTGTAGACGGGTCATTTGTAATGTGTTTACAGTACTATATGCAATTTTTTGACATATGAATGTGTTATTTTTTCATAGTAGTGATTCGTAATGAAACTTACAGTCAATCCTCGTGTTCAAAAGATTTCACATAAATGTGCCAGTGTTTTGTGTCCATAACTGTGCTTCATAGGAAGAAACTTTCTACAACACTCTATTACATATCTCATCACTCGTGTACTAGAAACATATGAATAAATAGCCAGCTATGGAAATTATAAAGCAGAAATGAAGTTGTTTCTAACAGCCTTTTGATATCTCCTCTTGTACAGCAGCATGAACAAGAGCAACTCTACAGGACTGACAGTGATTGCTGCTTGCTATGAAAGAGGAAATGGATGCCTAACAGATTACAAGGTACGATTTCAAAGCTACAATAGTTATCTTGTCCGGAGTTCTTAAGGAGTGAATCTCATTTGGCATTTACGTAGTTATGTTTGTTGTAACACAATTCGTGTGTTGAACTCCTTTGGCATTTACGTAGTTATGTTTGTTGTAACACAATTCGTGTGTTGAATTCTGCAATTTTTACAATGTCCTAATTGTGATATTAGTTTTAAGGATTTAGTTTGAGAGCATAGGGTTCCTGGAACATGGATAGTTTCAACATCAATTTGAAAAAAGATATCTTATCTTTCAGAATTTGTTGTGTGCCTTTGTATTGATGTATATTTGAATTTCTTTTCTGCTATGTAATATTTATATATAGGGCTTCATTTTGTTAATGCTAATGTTTTCTTCAACTTTGTTGAGCATATGAAGAAGGATTAACATTCATTCTCACTTTTCCTCCCCCTCTTTTTCTTGAACCCAAGAAAGATTATAAGATTCCTTTCCCCTCTCATTCAACGATCCTTACTGAAATGGAACCATGACCACGATCACTAACATGTAACAACTCCTTTCTCTGGAAGTATCTCTGTTCTCCCCGACTCCTTGCACGTGTTTCTATTCTAGCATAGCTTCTTTTTCCTTCAATAGAATCTTTCTCATGTAGTTTGTTATCTAAAAGTATGAAACTATGGTATGTAAACGAATCTTGCATTTGCCCACTTCAAAAGGTACCATAGATGGAGCTCTTAAACCTGATACATTTGCCTCCAAGATACAAAAGAATCAATGTAATGTTTATCGGCATTTTTGAAATCAACAATGACAAATCCAACACCAGAGATATGTCTGAATGTATATGAGAACCTTTATAATACGATTCTGCACTAATCTGAACACAAAGCAAGTTTTAAAGTGAACAAAAGAGCAAGTTTTAAAGTGAACAAAAGAAAGTAAGTACTAGAAACGAGTAGAAAATAGGAGAAGAAATTTGTATATCACTTCTCTAAAGAGACAGCAATCTATTATAGATTGTAATAACAATACTTTCGAAGAGTTACTTCTCTTCATTGGAGTCACAACCGTTCAACTTTAAATTACATAACTGAATTTGTGGTGAAAGGGGGCCAAAAAGTGGTGGTCGCGGCTGTGACCAGGTACCTGCTTGCTCTGGTGGCCTTGGTTGGCAAACTTGTTTGTAAAAGTAGACGCGTATAAATTTAGTTCAAATAATATACCTTTTACGTGCATAAAAATTGAACAAAAATTCAACTTATCGAAGTTGAATACGTAAAGTAGAACGAGAAATACATGAATATGAATTTGGTCAAAGCAAGAGTTCAACTATTTTTCCTTAGGATGATAATGTCCTGCATGGGTACTAACGATTTTTCGGTATTTGTTTTTTAAGATACAATGACCATCGTAATAGGAGCAGTCCAAATTACGTAGATCAATGAATCTAATTATGTTTTGAACTCTCTTTTTGTAAAACTCAACTCCAAATCAATGCTCAAAATATTTTGAAGTGAATATATATCAACCTGCTAATGCAATGATGAAAAATGAATGAATGAAAATTTCGTACATGTGATCTATATCTAGTAGTTGGAAAGGTTTGTCTCAAAATACATAATCTATGGAAGAGATACAATTATTTGAATTAGTCTCTATATTTGAAGAGACACATTTATTTGAAAATAATAATACTAAAAATCACAATCTTTCATATAAAAAGACACTCGTTTTCATTTACTAGAACACTTCATAATATTCTACGTAATTTTTCAATAGTTCACATATATAAGTGACTTAAATTTGACTTAATTTTCCATTCACTATATAATAAATTTCTAGTAGAACTTAATTCTCTAGTCACGACTCCATTCCACTATGCTTTACCGTTAGTCGAATTTTTTCCCCAGTTGAACATTTTGTTGGACTATTTATGTGGATGGTATAATTGTGATCGATTTACTCACAAAAGTAATGTTAAATCATGTATTGGATAATTATTTTATCGTAACAATGTATACACATTTATTACTTTGAACCCCATAGACATACCTCCATGGAAAAAATTGATTAAAGGAAAAATAAGGTAATATACCGTGATCGTAATTGGCTTCTCGATAATATTGTGGATCAGAGTATAATTCAAAATGCACGATAGGAACAAAAATTTGTAAAAATACTAAAATTATAATGTTGTTGGGTTACCCCAATTTTTATTCAGTACTTAGAGTTGAGCGTGCATTACACATTATTTTAAAATACATTATAAGTAATGTAAAAGTAATATTTGATACCAATTTGTTGGGGGAATTTGATGAACCTCAAATGATCAAAAGAAAATAAAATCTAGAATAGAAATTTAAGAGAAGAATATTATACTTTCAAAACTCAATTTTTATGATTCAATTTTTTTGTGATGGTGAAATACTATAAATGAGCAACTCTTTTATACTACTTTTGGTACATTACAATTAATTGCTAATACATGAATTTAAATACACATTAAAATTTCTAGATAAATGAATAGAAATAAATTCATCTATAATAACTTTAGATTCATGTAGATTAATATTCATCGAGTAAATTCATTGAGTTTAGATTAATGTAAATGTTAATTAATAGCATTAAATTTATATACGACAAGAATTTTGTGATATTATTACATATTGAAAAATAAAAAAGAGTAATGCTATTTACAGTTGCTCATGCATCAAATCACTAACCATAATATGTATGTCATGCAAGACAATTACGGTAGTAAGCGACTACAAATGACATTATCCAACAAAAAATAAGGTATTATTGAAATAATTGAATTGTAGTAGGATTAAAATTGTCCAAATATGATTTTCATTAATTTGATGTAATATTTAATATATTATAGATTATAGGTAAATCTATCTTTTTAACTCAAAATCCAAATTTTTAAAAGGAAACCTAACCAATGATCAAACATATGCACATTCCTAAATTAAGGCGTTTTCAATCATTTTCCTGCAAATTCAT